TTGTGGTGCGTCTTGATGACGTTCGCGTTGGAGGAAACGAGGGTGGAGGCCGACTCGATCAGGTCGGGCCGCAGCGTGCCCTGCGCGAGGTACACATCCTCCGCCTTGAGCCCCTTCTTCTCGACCATCGCCTGGGTGACCCGCATGAACGTGTCGCCGATGATCTTGCGCTTGAGCTCCGGCGCGCACTCGGTGGCGAGCGGGAGCGAGGTCTTGCCGTTGACCTCGGTGACCGCCTCTGCAAAGTCCTTGGTCGCGTCGAGCGCGTCGATCGGCACGCCCAGCGCAGCGAGCGCCTTCACGACGCCCGACGACTCCTCGTGACGCATGAAGCCGTGGTCAATGTGCAGCGCAATCAGCCGCTCCGGCCCGATGGCCTTGTGCAGGAGAGCAGCACAGACGGAGGAGTCGACGCCGCCGGAGACGAGGACGAGCACCTTCTTGTCGCCCACGGTGGCGCGGATCTCCTCGATCGCCGCCTCCTGCCGCGACTCCATCGTGTAGGAGCCGGACAGCTTGGCAACCTGCGCGCCGGCGCGGGGCGGGCTGGGGCGGGGGGCGGGCCGGGGCGGAAGGGCGGGCCGGGGCGGAAGGGCGGGCCGGGGACGGGGCGGAGGGGCGGCCGTGGGAGGGGAGGCGCGGCGGGAGCGAGGCGGAGGCGCCTTGAAGAGGAAGTTCGAGAGGATGGCGTTGCCGTCGACCGACAGGTCCACCTCGGGGTGGAACTGGACGCCGTACAGCCGCCGCTCGGCGCACTCGATCGCAGCGACGATCTGGCCCGAGCGGCCGACGATGCGGAAGCCGTCGGCGGGCTTGTCGACCGAGTCGCCGTGCGTGAGCAGCACCTTGGTCGACGAGCCGAGCCCCTCGAACAGCGTCGACCCCTCCTCGACCTGAGTGGCGCGAGCGAGGCACCAGGGCGGTGGGGAGCGGCGAGGACAGCGGTGAGGGCGGGGTGGAGTGCGGTGGAGTGCGGTGGTGAGGGCGTGAGGGTGGTGGGGAGGGGCGAGACGGCCCACGCCAGGAGCGAGCGGCGC